ATAGATTTTCAATGCAGAAGCCATAACCAAAATGTGAAGTATTTATAGTGGTATCTTCAACACATCATTTAATGATTTTTATCCTGAAAAAAAAACAGGAAAGATACTTAATTATTATTATTGTTTAGACAAACAAACCAAACCAAACCAAACCTATGGCATGCAAAGCTTCATTTTAGCCTGATATCTCATCTAAAGAACTACATCTAAGAAACAAACCCAACAGAAGCTAGTTGCATATTCTTACCCTGGACCTTTTCTTCTTCTGGTAGGGTTAATTATGTAGCAGAGCAGGGTTTTAAGAAAGGCATGGAAGGACAGGTGGGAATGAGCAACAAGTGCGCATCAAGGGGTGCTTACAGGAAACAAACACTGTGGTGTCTATTTCCCAACCTGGCGGGTCCACAAGTTTACTCTGCAGTGGACTGTGCACCTGCAGTCCGGGCTCCTGTGGGGTTCCTGTTGGGGTAACTAACAATGGGCGGGTATTTGGACTTTAGGAAGTCTCCATGCTAGCTGAGCCTCTCACTCAAGCTGGTAGGACAAGGGCAATTGGTGTCCTGCACAGTATGGTTTGAGAATGGCTTATATCACTCTCCTCCAATGGGCCATTAAGGGTTCTTAAAGTGCTTCCTTGAGCAGACAGGAGGGTCTAATTGGAAGAGATATGCTGTGCTGCTGGGCATCAAGTTAAGTAATTGTGAAGCCCTAGCAGAGACACTCAGTCTCCTTACCTACTCTCAGTGGGTAAAGGCCATGACCTTGAAGGATAAACCCATGACAGGTAAGATTTAATGGGCTGAGAGAAAATGAAACATGAATCTTTGTAGAGCTCTGTGGGACTTTGAAGGAGAGCCGGCCTTGATGAAGACGTGTACTAGTTTTCTAGGGCTGTCATAACAAATTACCACAACTAAGTGACCTAAACAACAGAAATTTATCCTCTTACAGTTCTGGAGGAGGCTAGAAGTCTGAGATCAGGTGTTGGCAGTGTTGGGTCCTTCTGGGCGTTGTGAGAGAGAATCTGTTCCATGCTTCTCTCCTATCTGCTGGTGGTTGCTGGCAGTCTTTGGTTTTCTTTGGCTTGTAGACATTTCTCTCCAATTTCTGCCTCCATCTTCCAAGGCTATTTTTCCTGAATCTCTGTCTCTGTGTCTCTTCCTCTTTTCTTATAAGGGCATCAATTTATATTGGATTAAAACCTCATCTACTCCAGTATGACCTCATCTTAACCATTAATTACATCTGCAAAAACCCTATTTCCAAATAAGTTCAGTCTCTGAGGTTCCAGGAAGGACATAAATTTTGGGAGGACACTTTCCAGCCCTGTACAAGAGAGGAGCATAAAACCATTTGGCATCATTGTCTGTGAGAGAACAGTGGGGAAAGGAGAGGAAGAGTCTCTGAAGGAAGGCTTAGAAGGACACAGAATATCAGTGAAGTAGGCAGGATTGTAATAGGAAGCACATGAACCAAATGGGGTAGTTGAGACTTTAAAGAAGGAACCATTTATATTAAGTGGTGGGGTTGGGCGCCGTCATGGCAGGTTTGCTGAAGAAGACCACCGGCCTTGTGGGATTGGCTGTATGTGAGAGTCCACACGAGAGGCTAAGAATATTGTACACAAAGATTCTTTTTTTTTTTTTTAAGATTTTATTTATTTATTTGACAGAGAGAGACACAGTGAGAGAGGGAACACAAGAAGGGGGAGTGGGAGAGGGAGAAGCAGGCTTCCCGCTGAGCAGGGAGCCCGATGCTGGGCTCGATCCCAGGACCCTGGGATCATGACCTGAGCCGAAGGCAGGCGCTTAACGACTGAGCCACCCAGGCGCCCCTGTACACAAAGATTCTTGATGTTTTTGAGCAAATTCCTAAAAACGCAACATATAGAAAGTATACAGAACACATTACAAATGAGAAGCTGAGTATGGTTAAAGCAGAACCAGATGTTAAGAAATTAGAAGACCAACTTCAGGGTGACCAACTAGAAGAGGTGATTCTTCAGGCTGAAAATGAACTAAGTCTGGCCAGAAAAATGTTACAGTGGAAACCATGGGAGCCTTTAGTGGAAGAGCCTCCTGCCAACCAATGGAAATGGCCAATGTAATCATCATTGTATGACTAGTGTGTTGATGGGAAACGGATGTAATTAAATGTTCTGTTATATAAAAGTGTTTCTATATTATTGACATAATCAAGAAAACTAATACAGAACATATTTAGGACACTTCTTAAAATTGATGACTATGGTAATAGGGACTTGTGAATCCATTTTTGATAAGTAAAGCATTCATTTAAGCTATCTTAAAGATTTTTGCTGTTGTTGTTGGTTTTTGTTTGTTTGTTTGTTTGTTTTGTAGAGAGGTTGTGGAAAGATTTGGAAGTTAATTGGAAAAATTCCTATAGATTTTCAATGCAGAAGCCATAACCAAAATGTGAAGTATTTATAGTGGTATCTTCAACACATCATTTAATGATTTTTATCCTGAAAAAAAAAAACAGGAAAGATACTTAATTATTATTATTGTTTAGACAAATTTATAGGTCACTAAAGTGAAGTAGTAAGAGTAAAAACCATCGAGTTATAGTTGTGCAGTTGAGGAAATTGATTTGGTATTTGAAAGAAAAATTTCTTTCTTGAAAGAAAAAATTTCTTATAGTGGTAGTTGGAAAAACTTTTCTGTTTGTCTCATTTAAAAAAGTTAGCTTTCTGTTCTTAGCCTTTAGTTTTCTTGATCAGCCAGAGTACATCAGGATGGGGATAGAATTTATGTAAAAGGAAAGACATCAAGAGTTCCTAAAGTTTTTCATAGGCTTATATTCAGAAGATCTTACTCATACATGGGTTATAACTTCAAAGTGGAATCACCAGGTAGTTTTCACTAAGTTTCCAATATGAGTGCAGTATGGTTATCAAACCCAAGATAAGTGCTAATTCAAGGAAAGAAACAGTTGACATAAATTACTTTTCACATGTCCTCACCCTTTCACCCTAGACCCTATCATTTCTAAATACTTAAATTTGGTATTTTTTAACTTCAAAGATAGTACTTCTGTGTGTGTTTTTTTTCACATATGTTTTTGCGTCTTTTGCTATCCCTTGTGGCAAAGTAGGATCATTCAGAATTTTCAGAAAGAGAAAATTGTATTTTTTTTCTGATATATTTCTCCCCTTACAGAGCTGTAAATTGAATGGTAAATAAATATTAAATGAAGTGGGGGAAAAAAGTGGAGGGGTTAAGTAAAAACAAACAAACAAAATAAGAGAGTGGTGAAGAACTCCTGAGCTAGCAAGAGCAGGGTGTCATTTTCACAAGCCCTCTCACCCCTTCCCCTTCTTCCCACCACCACAGAAAGGAGTTCCACTTAGGCTTCTACCAGCTTCTCTGCCATTGACCTGTTCTGTGATGCCTCTTCTGTCCTGTCCTGGGGCTTCTTGGATGCAGTGATGTGGGCTGCCTGATGTCCAGGCATGCACAACGTTATGATGGGCGAGTTAGTGCCAGTGCCCACCTTTGAAGAAGGGGAGATGGAAGCCAGTTGATGCCAATTTCCTGATTTCTTCCCTAGCTGACTGTTCTGTGATGTATTCTGTAAGATTTCCAGGAAGATTCTGTGGGATTGAGCACCAGTTGACAATAGCAGTGACCAGTTCAAGAACTCATCCTTGTTTTGAGGCTTACTCCCTCCTCCTTCACTGTCCCTGCCTCTCACACCTGTTTCCTAAGATAAGTTCCCAAATAAACCACATGTACACAGCCTTCACTTCAGGCTCTCCTTCAAGGGAAACCAAGGCTAAGCAGCCACTCTCAGCCAGTAGATTCAAGGGGAGTAAGGGATTTCTGGGAAAGAGTGAGAGAGAAGGGGGGTGGAGAGGAAGGGAGGGATGGAGAGAGAAGGAGAGAGCAGGGGAAGAGGAGAGGGAGGGGGAAAGGAGAGAAAGAGAGTTAAAGCTAAAGAAAGCAAACTTCAGTCTTCCGAGGAGGAATACAGTCAGACAACCCTCAGGCTAGGGGGCAGGTGGGAGGAAAAATACACAGCCCAAGCACAATCTCCTCCCACCCACGGTCCCCTTCCAGAGCCTTCTATGGCTGAACCAATTCCCAGAGGGTGAGGAAGGGTTAGCCTTCATGCAGTTCATAGAGGTCAGCCTCCCAGGGCACAGACTAGGCGAGAAGGTTAGAAAGCAGAACTGGAAGTAAACAGAATTGCCAGACAACCACGTTTACCCACACACCAGTTTTCTCTCCTGCTGACCATGAGTCTTAACAGAATTGACTGCAGCACTGACATGCTTCACAAGGCCATCTTTTCAAAGTGGGAAATGTTTCTAAGATGAGGTTGTTCTTGCAACCACAAAGAAATAACTTGTTGGCTACACATAAATTTTATCACCATTGAACATAACCATCCTAGTAAACTCAGTTATCATCTGGATTAAGCAGCCTAGGATATGAAGACAAGTGTGGACGTGCATTCAGAACATCCCTTGATTCAAATCCCAGAGCTGCTACTAACAAAAATGGTGCCCTTGAGCAAGTTTCCTTCTCCGAGTCTCAGTTTTCTCATCTGCAAAATAGGATTAAAATATCAACCCCACCTCACAAAAGTTTTCTGAAGATTGAATGAAAGAAGACATTGTAGATGGTGGCTGTTTTTTCTAGTACTGCTCTCTTAATTACTGCTCATTTATTATGCCTCAAACTTCTACTTATCTCCATAGAGATGTATGTATGTTATTAACACATTCATATGGAATAGGATTAACAGTCTCAGAAATCTAAAAATTTCTTCAGATATTTGAAGATTCCTCTTAAAATTATAGTTGGATAAACTGTAATATTTTATTATCCCTCTGTCTTCTTGCTCTTAACTGTATAAAATATCCTGAAATTCATCTTAAGTGACAGGTGAACTAATTGTTCTTCAATTGCATTCAGACTTCAATGGTCTTTCAGTCGACCGTGATGAAGTAATTTATGGTCAGACTCTGGACACAGTTGCCTGATTGCTGATGGTGATGAATCACTGAGGGAAGGGCCCACATTTCTGTGCTGTTGGAGCTTTTCACTTAAATTCTGAGTCTGTTGGGTTGCCTGCAGGTTTACTGGAAAATGGCCTCTGCTTGGAAGCCTGGTTGGAGGGACTTCTTGCCACAAGGCTCATCCTCCACTGTATTAAAAAGGTTTTGTAAAAATCTATGACTTACATGTTAAGGAAAGAATGTGCTCTGTCTCAGGTGTAATTCATCTTGTATCTAAAAATGTGTGGTTCTGTGAAACATAACATATTTAGTTCTTTTTCTCTTGTCCTTTGAGGAAAATCTACCCATTTCTTTTGAAGTGGTGGTGCTATATACAGGAAATATATCTTTCTGGCCTTATAAACAATTTTCTCATTATTTTTTCCTCTTTCCCAAATGGGATTTTTTTTTTTTTTTTTTTTTTTTTTTTTTTTAGTGTGAATGAGGAGAGAAGAAAAAGAATTTAATGAAAGAGAAACATGGATACAAATTTATGGTAATACTAGCCTTATTTTTTTTTAAGGAAAATAATGAAGCTAAAGCAAATTGGATCACAAATAAAATCAGATGTATTATAAAAATAATAATGTTTATGTTTTCTCCCTGTATTATGTAGTTGTTAAACCATATATTTAATTTGTTGAATATTTTGTGGTTATTGCTCTGTTTATAAAAATGATTGCCAATTTCAAGCCTCATTCAGGAGAGTGAGCCAGAGGGCATTGTGGTAAGTGTACACTAATCCTAAAATAGTGTTTGAACATGAGAGCTGGCACTCCTTGGCAGGGCTCAGGTGTTACAACAACAGAATCAGAAAAATATCCTACATGGAAACTTTTTCTCGGAGTGAATCTCTGATGGTGTGCATTGCTGATGGTGATGAATCACTGAGGGAAGGGCCCACATTTTGAATATATTTTGAATCTCTGCTTTCAATGAACGGAGCAAGAAGGAGCTGTAAACTACATTTTCAGTTGGGGAGATGTGAAGGGGGCTCATGGAAGGTGGTAAATTAAAGGATGAATTAAGTCTTTCCTTTAAAAAAAGAAATCAGAAGAGCCTTATTTGGACTAAGCGTTAGGAATACTATGGCCCTTGGTACTCAGTCAATGGGAAATTTTAATCCTAGATCCTTGGGAAATTGACGAGACTACTCATTGCCCCACACTTCCCTCTGACAGCAAGTATCTACCTGTCCTAGAATTGTTGAAGCCCTTCCTCTTCTTACAATTTGGACACCACTCTTTGGGGAGAGGTGGATTTAAGGAAGCACTCTCTCAGGGTGTAGGATGGGCACCTGGCAGTAAGTATCCTGTATTTTGCATCCAACGTGCCTCACTGGCCTCATTCTAGTCTTGGTCCTGAGAGGCACCCAACATTATCTGAGAGGTCTGAGATTTAGGCAATACAGTGATTTGGGTGTCTCCCAAGCACATGCAGAGAAGGGGAGCACTTTGGCTTGGGTGCTGCATCAGCTCCAGTAAAGAGAAAGTGCTTGTTGCTATGCCTCAACCTCAACTGTGTCAAGTGACAGTTTACTCCTCTGACCAAAATGCACCTAGAATGTCAGAATACATCTGTGACTGATTTGTCTCCCAGAGTCAGCCGAGGCTGGTCTGCCTGCCTGCTTGAGCAGCTGAGAATGTGTCTTTTCAACGCTGCCTAGTTTGACTATTTCTCAAGTGGATTACAAATGGCTGGGCTGGTCTTCTAGTAGATTCTCTCTGGAGCATTCTCTTCAATTCTGACCTTCTATCCCTACTCCGGGGGCCTTGAGATCCACCGCTCTATTCTGTTTGGTGATGTGGCAATGACTATGGACATTCTTCTGGTCAGAATGCCCAGATGCTGGTTCTCGGCTGTGTCCTCTCCTCCATAGGGGGATGAAATTGTTCCTGGAAGAGTTCTAGCACCTAATGCCTTGACTTCTTGGATTTTGCATATTTAGACAAAGCTTTTCCTTATGATTCCCAGATCTGGCTTCTTCTTCTCTACTCCCCAAAGCACCTGGCCAGTATCTTGTTTATTGCTCTCTCTGCCCTGTATCCACAGTACTGGTGTACACATCTTGCCCTCCTCACCAG